CGGGATAATAAGGAAATCTATCTCATTCATAGAAGGCCATTCAGGAAAGCCTTGTATGAGCATTGTAGATTCTACAGTGTATAATAAGAACTCAATGAGAGGCTGCCAAGGTGGCTCAGCAGGTCGAGACATTTGCATGAAGGACTGACAGCCTGATTTGGGCACAAGATCACACAACAAGGCAGAGAAGAACCAAGTCCTGAGAACTGTCCTTTGACCTCCATGTGTGTGCTTTATATTTTTAAAATACAACTCAATAGTGGCTTAAGAGATAGCTCACTGCTCTTGCAGAAGACAAAAGTTTGGTTCTGAAAACCTTTATCTGCTCACAACTTCTTAGAACTCCAGTTCCATATGATCCAATACCCTCTTTCCTCTGCGGGCTCTTGTACTCAGGCAGACACACTTACATAACAATGAAAATAAATAAATATTCCCTGAAAAAGGAAGAGAAGAAATAATATACTAATAAATAATAATAATAAAATACATATTGGGGGCTGGGGAGGTGGCTCAGCAGTTAAGAGCCTGTATTGCTCTAGCAGAGGACCAGAATTCTGCTTCCAGCCCCTATCCTAGGAGGCTCACAAATGGCTATGTTTCCAGCTATATATCTGATTCCCCCTTCTGGCCTCCTTGGGCACAGCTCTCATGCACAGATCCAAATGCATACATGTAATTTAGAAAAATAAAGAGAAATACATTTTCTAAAAATTAATGAAAAAAGAAGACATGAAATTGAAAAAAAGGCAAGAAAGGGTAATGGGGAGATTCAGAGGGAGGAAAGGGGGGGGGAATGATATAATCTCAAAGGTAAAAGAAAGAATATTTTTAAAATCAAGTAAACAATGAACAGTAATTCATTCCCCCCTTTTTAATTGATTTTTATTGAGCTCTACATTTTTCTCTGCTCCCCTCCCTGCCTCTCCCCTCCCCCTTCCAGCCCTCCCCCAAGGTCCCCATGCTCCCAGTTTACTCAGGAGATCTTGTCTTTTTTCATTCCCCTTTTACATATTAATAAGAACTTTAAACTCCTCAGAGTTGATGCCCTCACTGTCAACAAATCAGAAAACAAACCACAGGCCAACAAAACCTTTGTATTCTTCATTGGGTTTTCAGGAAGACTCACTTTTCTGTACCTTGTCACAGCTGGATTGAGTCACAGGAAGTGCTGGCCAATGGACAGTGGTGGGATTACACCATAAAACACGGCATGACGTAGCATCACACCATTGGAGGTTCTGCTCTCACTGCGCCCTCTACAGCAGGGATGGTAGACTGGAGACAGGGGTTTTGCCAAGTGTAGTCGAGAAGTTGGCATGGGGCAAAGTCCCTCTGGGGACACATGGAGTCATGACACAAGCAAGAAATAAGCTTTCGGGCTGGAGATATGGCCCAGTGGTTAAGAGCACTGACTGCTCTTCCAGAAGACCCGGGTTCAATTCCCAGCACCCACTAGGCAGCTCACAACTGTCTGAAGATCCAGTTGTAGGGGATCTGACACCTTCACACCAATGCACATAAAATAAAGTTAAATAAACCATAAAAATATTTAAAAAAAAAAAAAAGGAAATAAGCTTTCGTAGCACCAATCAGCAGAGGTTGGAGGGGGAGGGGAAGATTTTTGTTCCGTGTTACTGCGTCATCGTGGAACCTTCACTTTGAGGAAAGAATGTGTCTTATCAATAGTAATATTTTAAAAGGTTTAAAAATGCAGCTGTCGCTCGAACATCTGGTTTGACTACTGTGTGTGTATGCTGATCTCATTTCTTCCTTCTCCTGCTCTTCTTGCTGTTCCACGCCCAAGCACAAACACTCCAAAGTATACCCTCTTCCGGCTGCTGCTTTTTGAAATTCTCAACATGGTTTGAAATTGTTCCCTTTATATATTCTTTTCTTATATAATGTATCCTGATGATGGTTTCTCCTCCCTCTACTCCTCCCAGTTCCTCTCCACCTGTCCTCCCATCTGGGTCCATCCCCTTTCTGTCTCTCATTAGAAAAGAAACAGGCTTCTGGGGTATAATAATAAAACATAACAAACTAAAATATTAGATAAAACAAAAACTATTACATCAGATTTGGACAAGACAAACCAACAGAAGGAAAAGAGACCAAGAGAAGGCACAAGAAACAGACTTGCTCATTCACAAACTTTAGATGCCCATGAAAACACCAAACTGGAGTTTACAACACATACACAGGAAAGGACCTGGTGAGGCCCGTGCAGGTCCTGTGCGTGCTGCCTCAGTCTCTGTGAGCTCATATGGGTATTAATCCTATTGATTCCTAGGCCTTTGTTAGCTTGGTGTCCCCTATTTCCTCTGGCTCTTACACCCTGCCTCTGCTTTCTCAGTATTCCCTGAACCCTGAGGAAAGGCATCCCATGGAGACATCTCATTCAGAATTGAGTGTTCTGTGGTCTCTCTCTTTACACAGTAATCTACCTGTGGGTCTCTATATGTGTTCCCACCTGCTGGAGGAAGATGGCGGAGAGGGTATAAAGAATTTACATTCTTTATTGCATTCCACAGGGAATGGAAGACACCAAGAAAACAAGGCCCTCTAAATCAACACAGTCTGTGCACATATGAACTCGCAGAGACTGAGGCAGAGTGCACAGCGCCTGCACAGGTCTGCACCCAGGTGGAATCCTGGAGCTGAAAAAAAAGGGGGGGGGGACACACATACCATTCCTAACCCAAGGCTAGCTCAAATTGAGAACCACTTGCAAATGAAAATCTAGTTTCATCCAAGGGAGTCTCACGGGGAAAGAAACCATTCTTATTTTGTTTTGTATTTTTTGTTTTTTTTGTTTTTGTTTTTCGAGACAGGGTTTCTCTGTGGCTTTGGAGCCTGTCCTGGCACTAGCTCTGTAGACCAGGCTGGTCTCGAACTCACAGAGATCCACCTGCCTCTGCCTCCCAAGTACTGGGATTAAAGGTGTGCGCCACCATCGCCCGGCATGAAAGAAACTATTCTTAAGTGTAGGCTGCATACCCACGGTAGATGGCCAGTTGAAAACTAATTCATTGGCATTTTTGGAGGTCCCTTGTCTCACAAGTCTTCTTAGGGCTTTTCATATTTTTTTAACTTTATCTTATTATTTTTTTACTTTTTTTTTTCAAGACAGGGTTTCTCCTTAGCTTTTTGGTTCCTGTCCTGGAACTAGCTCTTGTAGACCAGGCTGGCCTTGAACTCATAGAGATCTGCCTGTCTCTGCCTCCCGAGTGCTAGGATTAAAGGCATGCGCCACCACTGCCCGGCTTTACTTTTATTTTTTATATCCTTCTCTCATTTTGCCCTTCAGGTCGTGTGTGTGTGTGTGTGTGTGTGTGTGTGTGTGTGTGTGTGTTATGGCTTCCAATTTACTTTTCTTATGGGATTTCTGAGTGTGTGAAAGGGTGGTTCTTGGATTCTTGTGCCTTCTTTTGGTCTCTTTTCCTTCTGCTTGTTTGTCTAGTCTAATTTCAGTTTTTGTGTCAGTTTTTGCTTTTATCTTATTTTATTATTATCCCTTAGAAGCTTTTTTATGTTCTAATGCGAGAGAGAAAGGGAGTGGATCCAGCTGGGAGGAGAAGACTGGAGGAATTGGAAGTAGCTGGGAGAGGGAAATCACAATCACATATTATGTGAGAAAAAATCTATTTCCAATCAAAGTACAATGTAACAAAACTTTTTCCTACTATTGTGTAGTGCTGGAAATTATGTTTAGGACTTTGCGTGTGCCGCATGACTATTCCATCACTGCGCTAAACTGTCGGCCCAGCCCCATTTTAGGTTTTAAACACAGTCTGCGTTGACAGTTTTGCTTCTTGCGGTAATGAATTTCATACACTAGTGAAACTCTTTCTTCTCTCTGGCCTACTCCTCGTTACCTTCTGTGGCAGATTAGAGATGGTGTCCCTTACGAAGGGACTGGTGGTGACAGTTTGGTCCCCAGCTAGTGCCGCTGAGAGGTGATTGGATCACATCATCAACAGTTCATACGAGAATGAAATGAGCTTTTAGGAGGGTAGTCTGGTTAGAGAAGGAGCTCACTGTATTGTGTACTGAGGTCATCTAGATGGCCAATGGGAACCTAACTCAGCAGCATCAGTGGAGGCCCCTTGAGGGGCTTTTATTTGTTTATTATTGTTTGTTTGTTTTTGTTATTTCTATTTTGAATATTATCTTAGTTTTCATTTTTGCTTTTTTTTCTTTTTCTTCCTTTTTACCCTAAAGATCCCTTACATATAAATTACGGCTTCCAGTTTAGCGTTCTTTATGGAACTGTGCAAACAAGTAGGTCTCTGCATCCAAAACTGTTTTGTGTGCCTTTCTCTGCGCTCATTTCCTTCTGTTTATTTGTTCATTTGTTTTATCATATTTTGATGTGTTAGATTTTGTTTTATATTACTATATATGAGGGAAAAGCTATTTTCAATAAAATGGAAAAAAGAATAAGCATAAAATAAGCATAAAAGGAAAAGGAATACTCCTGACCACTGAACACTTTTTCCTAGGCTCTATGCTTTTAGAGAAGTTGACACAAATCACCAAGATGGGCAAATGGAGAATTACCAAATCGTGCTATTCGGCTGGTTCCCTCAATGTAAGGTCTTTCTTTTCATCCTGTCAGAGCTGCACAATAGTGCTGCCTCTTTAGCTGTAAAATAAACAATGCCGACAAAACAACAATGGTTCCGAATATTGGTGCAATAGATTTTCTTTATTTAAAAAAAAAAATGTACTCGGACAGCAGCTGTGGCTTCAAAAGAAAATAATCTTCAACGGACAAAGTTGAAAAGTGCTAATCCATCCTTTCCCAGTCCAGTCAACAAACTGCTCTCCAGTTCGGCACACAGCTGGGACAAAACCAAGGAGTCAAAGGCTAAAGCATCTTCTGAATGTTCTCATAGAGAGTACTTACAAGTGCTATATACAGGTTGACTTGACAGAGGATTCTTTTAGAAGCTTCCCAGATAAATGGTCCAGATGCTAACCATCTACAAGAATAAGTGGTTGGTGTTTTCGAGGGCATGTTCACAGTAATTAATGCATCCATAAGCTCTATTAATATCACAATGAAGAGGCAGCTTAGGGGACGATGCACCTTCCCATGGCTGAGGACATGCTTTTCATCTTGGACCATTTTAATCATCTATAAAGACTAAAGAGTGGACACTTCACATGCTATGTACTTGTGATTAAACTTCAATATCAACGCTGCAGTCAACACTGACCATATATTTTCTCAAACTTAAGAACAAAGGCAAAGAATACACTACAAGGGTTTTTTTTTTCAGCATTTCAAAGAGTATATTGAAGCTGGCCACTTATTTCTGAAGCCCTGAAGGACAGGTGCGGGGTTTCTCGGCCTCAGAACTCAGGTGTCTATTTCTTGTCACAGTCCCCATCATTACTGTGACTCTCTCCATCCATAACATGGGCACTAGTAAATCTGGAACTGCTCTGTTTGAGAGAACAACAACATTTTTGAGGTGTGCACGTCTGCTAATGTCAGGCCGACTTCAACAGCTCCCCAGTACTACTCACAGATGCAGAATGCTGGAGCTCAGTGGTTCTCAATCCTCCTAAAGCCGCAACCCTTTAACCCACTTCCTCGTGTTGTGGTGACCCCAGCCAGAAAATTATTTCACTACTGCTTCATGGCTGTAATTTTGTCACTGTGATGAATTGCAATGTAAACATCTGATATGCAAAATATCTGATATGTGACCCCACAAGGGTTACGACTCACAGGTTAAGAACCACTGTTGCGGATGGTCCACAACCCCAACCCATACTCCCTGAAGCCAGCCTTGGACTTGTATGGATTTACCCATATTTGAGCAATGATCCCTGGAGCATAAGTGTTTAATGCTTACCTTGGGGCACCTCAGGTAGATCCTAAAGATGAAGCCCAATGGGAATCGAGAGCTTCAAGAATAGAATCTGAACCTAACTGAACTTAAAACCAGAATGAACTATGGTGTTGTGCCTCTCTGAAAAATGAGTAAAGCCATTCTGCTGCTTTTTTTGTTTTTTTTTTTTCATTCTGCTGCTTTTGAGGTAAATTCAAGGACCACAAGAATATAGCCTATGTTCAGGAAACCTCAGCTATAATGCAATTATTACCACATATCGTTACCAAACACTTAGATGGGAGATGGACCTGTTGTACCCAAGGATACACATGTGGATGCAAAGATACATATATACATGCATGTATTTAAATAGATGAAGGGTGATAGGTAGATGGATGAATATAGATATATAGACAAATAGATTGTTTCCTTCACTTCTCACATATCTTGTGTATCTATGATAGTATTAGCTTATCATTTCACACTTTAGACAATGCACTACATGTCAAGAAAACCTCACCCCTAAAAAGACTGAAATAAAATAACCTTGGAGTAGTGGGATTACGCCTCCAATGTAATCCATGTTGTAGATGCTAAACCAGCCCTTCTCTGTGCCACACTCACCAGACAAAAGCATAAATATCACCAAGCCCAGGTCATCCAAATGAAATGCATCTGTTCCATTCACCCCTCCCTTAGCCTCCCACAGAGAGAGAACCATAGACAGCAAGCATACAGGGTTCTGGATCCATTCCACTACTTCTCTTGCTGTTTGCCTAACCCCACGTCCTTGACTTTCTATACTCCAATAGTAGGACCTTTTTTCGACATCTTTACTTTCCTCATAGATACCTGTTAGATATACTCTGCTGATAAGATTTAACGTATGATTGTTGCGCCATCATACAGCTTTCTTTGTCAGGCTTGATTAAGGAAATGGGGATGTTAAGGGAAGATGTCTAGTTAGCATCTAGGATCCTGCAAATGTGTTTGTTCTAGAAATATCTTGCAAATATGCTTTTCTTAATGCCTTCTGGTGACCTCCCTTAAACTCTACCCCTAAGCCTTCAATTCGGATTCTCCTATCCCGGTTCAATCCACTTTGGGTTGTCTTTAAGAGTGAAATGTCTGAAGTGTTTTGGGGATTCCCTGGTTTTGTTTGATTTTTGCCTCTTTAAAGTGTTTTGTTTATCCATGAGTTAAGGTATTCCTTAGACAGATGGATACACATCATTCTTTTCATACCAAGATAATAATGAAGAAGAGTGATGGATTATTTTTACATGTGCAGTATTGTTCCATTGTGCCAATAAAATTGTATTATTAAGAAAATGTTTAAAAATTCTCCCTGATAGTTTCAAGTATCTTTAGCCTCTTTAGAGTGAACTAACACATGTCTGTATTTGGTTTCTTTTTGACATTATAACAACCATAATTATAGAAGAAACGGTTTTCCATCAAAAATTCAATTTGTCACTCAAAATATTTGTAATCTTTATATATTTTACTCTGTTGTGGAATACTACTTTAACTAGGCAAAGATGTTTACTTTTGTTTATGTTGCAAAATATTACTTAAACTATGTAGAGATGTGTTACATTTGTTTATGCTGTATTTGTTTAATTATATAAAGATGTATTGTTGTTTCACCTTGCCTGCCTAAGGCTCCTGGTTGGTCTGATAAAAAGCTGAATGGTCAATAACTAGGCAGGAAAGGGATAGGCAGGCCTGGAGGGCAGAGAGAATAAGTAAGAGGAGGAGTTTATTCTCTAGAGACTGAGAACAGAATATGAGGGATGAAAACAGGGAGACACCCGGGGCCAGTCAGGCAGCCAATAGCCAGTCACACATGGAGTAGGACATACAGAATGAAAGAAAGGTAAATAGCCCTAAGACAAATCATAGATGAAGAGGAACAGATCAATTTAAGTTATAAGAGCTATTAAGACTGGCATAAGGTAAGGCCGAGTATTCATAATTAATAATAAGTCTCTGTGTCATGATTTGGGGGCTAGCAGTTCAAGAAAAAAACCTGCATTATTCTGGAGTAAATGAGTGGTGTTGTTGCATTTGGACATTTAGCACTTCTCAGATCACAAGTTTATCCAGAATAATATGGTGATAACACAGGAAACTTATGAGATAGAGAAAGAACTACAGAGTTCATCTCCAGATCAGAGAGAACACCTCCCCTCTCCACCTCATGGTTGGCTTCTCCTTTCAATCTCCCCCCAACAAACTGTAACCTGCATCCTTACACATCCTGGTCTCAACTCGGTGGCCCCAGTCTTCCAATCATGCATTCCCCTTTGGATCAGAAAGAGGATATATTCCCTCTTCCTCTTTTTAGAATTTATTTATGGGAGGAGAAGCTATGGGGAGGAGGCTATATGTGTGAGTGTGGTGTGTTAGTATAGCGTTTGTGTGAATGGTGTATGGGGGTTGGTTGCACACTTCACACCTCTGCATTTGCTCTTGAAAACCAGAGAAGGAATCAGAAGTCCTACCATATCACTCTTTGCCATTTGAGAGCGGTTCCCCCATTGAACCTAGAGCTAAGCTGGTAGCTATCAAGCCCAACTATCCTCCTGAACACCCCCCCCCAGTACTGGGGTTACAGGTGTGCCTGGATTTTTATAGGTGTTTTATGGGTGTTGGAGATTCTAACTCAAACCCTTATACATGGTCTTCAAATGCCTTACTGACCAACCCAATTCCTCAGCCCTTTGTCTTCTTAACTATGACGCTGTCACTGCCAACTTTTTCTATCTCTTTACCAAATCCATCTGATTCAAAGATCCACAGTCAAGCACCAGTTGAGCTCCAATACTCTAGTCAACGAGAAGGAGGAAGGATGCTATGAGCAGAAAGGGGTGGGGTAGGCAGTGTCAAGATCATGATGGGGAAAGCCAGAGAAAGCTGACCCGAGCTCATGGGACTCTAGACAGACAGCTAGGGAGCCTGCATGGGACAGACCTAGGCCCTCTGCATGTGTGTGACAGTTGTGTAACTTGGTCCATTTGTGAGGCCCCTAGCAGTGTGACCAGGATCTGTCCCAGGCCTATTAGCTGGCTTTTTGAAACTCATTCCCTATGGCGGGATGCATTGCTCAACCTGGATGCAAAGGGGAGGAACTTGGTCCTACCTCAATGATATGCCAGGTTTCTGCCTCCCCATAGGAGGCCTTACACTTCCTGAGAAGTGGACTGGGGAGAGAGCCAATAGAAAAGAAGTTGGGGGAGGAAATGGAAAAAGGACGAAGGGGAAATGGTGGTTGGTATGTAAAATAAAAAAAATTGAAATAAAAAACGGAAAAAATCCATCTGAAGTAACCCTCGGCATATTCCCACTTATGCTATACTCCAAGGTTCCCTTTCTCTCAGTAACATTACTGTAGAACAACAGCCATTGGTGGGGGAATATTTTATGAAACATCTGTTAGCTTCCAGGTGTTCTAGAAGGAAAGCCAGGCTCGTGGTGTCCTCTCCAGCTCTATTGCTGTCTTGCTATGCTATTCCTCAGTCTAAGGAGATGGTCCATATGTTAAATTATTTGATCAACAAAAAAAATAATTTAAGGGCTATATCCCAGTTTTCAAATAAGCACACTAAGGCTCACACCATTATTCTCCTAAGAACTCACTATAGAAGCATAAGAAGCAACTCCCTGACGCTGGAGAGCTGACAGCAATATCAGTGCTGTCTGCTGAATTTTGGTGGCACTGTCTTTTTAACAGCAAGCTACAAGTGACACCCCTCGTAATTATGAGAGTGGATATAATAAGAAAGGAGATCAAGATGCTTCACTCTGTGTCTTTCCTTTTTAATCTACCTAGAGACAGTCTCTTTTAATCACCTGCAATGAATGATTGCTTATTACATAATTTTATGGCCCAGATACATGCAACACTAAAGCTAACTGAATTATCCTTGGTAATTATAGCATGTGAAAAAAGATCACATTTGCTTACCTTGACCTACTTGGATGAACTGATAGTGCTCATTCTTAGCAGTCATCTAGCCAAATGTTCCTTATCTCCATGCAAGTGTAGGGCAGCCAAAATAAAAGTCCCATTTTTGCAAAAGCTCTGCTAAATGTTGGTGCTTAATTCTCTGTGACCATTATACAACCAACGGTCCTGCTTCCCTTGATGCATTGAACAGAATTGTATAGTATAAGCGTTTGCATAAGTTTGTACTCATTAGATAATATAACTAACATGTTATCTAGGAGGCAACATTTTGACCTTGAAGAGAGAATGATATGGGTGAGATGTCTCTTCCACGAGTCTATTCTGGCCTCTTCATAAACATTATGGGTAAGTTTACTAATGAACCACTGGCAAATTCTGCAGAGGCTATGCCATGATGAGACAAGGACCAGGGTTTACAGAGCACGCAGGGGTAGGCATCCCAGTGAGCATCAGCGGGTCTCCATAGCCCGGATGAGTAAACAGATGCTATGGCCATTCCTACCTCAGCCCCAGGTTTCCTTAAATGCTAATGAAAGCTTGAACTCCTGCCTCTAAAAGATTCTGAGGAGCCGGGCGGTGGTGGCGCACGCCTTTAATCCCAGCACTTGGGAGGCAGATGCAGGCGGATCTCT